GTTGTTGCCGCCACCATTGTTGCCGCCGCCATTGCCGCCACCGTTGTTGCCGCCGCCGTTGTTGCCGCCACCGTTGTTGCCGCCGCCGCTGTTGCCGCCTCCGTTGTTGCCGCCTCCGTTGTTGTTGCCGCCACCATTGTTGCCGCCACCATTGTTGCCGCCGCCGTTGTTGCCGCCACCGCCTTTAGCAGCTGCGATCCATGCTGCACAGCGAGGAGGGGATTGGCCGGTGGGGGAGGGGCTGCAGTGTTGGTCTGAGGTGGCTGACACGGCCACTGCGGATAGCCATCCGCATGAGCACCGCACGTTGTTTCAAAGACGCTGTCCCACTGCATGTGTTTTCAGGTCACGCTGGACTTGTCATGGTGGCCGCGGCCGGGCCCCTGGATTGGCAAACCCGGCCAGCCAGGATTTGGACAACGCTTCTTGTTAAAGAAACATCTTTTCTTCTCACCGCCTGCGCACAGGAGGACCACCAGCAACAAGGCTTTTTGGGCCCGCATGGTGGGTCAGGACTTGGTCGATCTGTTCGAATCAAATCAAACTCCTCGATCGGTGTGAGCGATGATAGATCAGGGCACGTCGCTGAACGAATGTGGGAGATGCCGAGATGACCAACGTCACCCGGTGGCTGGCCCGTTCCCGGTTCCCCAAGCCACAACCAGCGGCCAAGGCAGAGCGAGAGGCCAGTCATGCGACGCCAACTGGTGGCCCTGTGGATGCGGGCCACATCTAAGTAAAACCGGCACAACACGCGCTGCACTTGACGGTGCGTGCGTCATCTCCCTCATGAGCACGCGATTGCCCGGACGCACCTCGCCAGCTGGCTTTCTCTGCCAGCTGCAGCTTCATCCCTCTCGGCGGCGGACACGCCCCTCGCCAAGCAGCTCGCCCACACCATGCCCTGGCATCTGTTACATGGCTCCCACATGTGCAGCTCCCAGGTCCCACATTTGGAGCTCCCAGTCGAGGGCCTTGTGGGTGCCGTGCCCAAGGGCAATGCGCGGGGCGCGTGCATGCGCAACATTCGTCCCTCAGCATGCCCCAAGGCGCAACCTGTCCGCCAGTCTAGTGCTGCAACCTGACAAGTACCGGCACACCTTACACATGGGACGATCAAGGACACCGTCTGTTTTGGCAGATCACTAGACGAGCATGACTTGCTCCAGAGTGGTGGAAAAAGGGGGGCTCTGATTGTGGCCCATTCCGCCTCGGGCCCAGCGCTCATCTGAGTGATTGTTGCGATCAGGCTCCATGTTGTGAATATTAGGCATGCATGCAAACGAAAACGGTGGCCAGCTGTCCAAGTTCTTCCAAAGATCCAACCAAAGGTGTACTTCAGACAGCTCCAAGTGGGCATCGGCAATCGCAAAGGGCGATGCAGGATGAGGCGATTCGCAGAGTGCAGGATGAGGGTGGAAAGTGCCAAGGGGCCGTGTCTGCGAGCGTTTGCAAGACAGAGGGCCGGTTTGGGGCTGTGCCCGTGCCAGTTGCACGGGGCAGGGCCCATGCATCCCAGGAGCTACAGCAGACCTGCGATCAACACATCCTCGCGGACTCGCTGGTCAATTTGGGAACCCACAGCCAAGGCGCACGTGCCTGTTGTGGCGTCCCCTGCCCATCTTCCACATAATCATTGGTGCGTGTGGGATAAGCGGCGTCCAGGACCGCGCCCAAGGAAAGTGCAGGATCGCCCAGCCACAAACATGAGCATGCCTCTCCAGCATCCACATGCCGCTAGAGTGGAGGGCCAACGATGGAAGGCCAATGGATTTGGCATTGGGCTGATTAAACCTTGGTTTGCGAGTTGATTTGAGTGCCAGCTGTATTCCATAAGGGCCACCTTAGACTTTGGGCAGGAGGGGGTAGCCGTCGATCACAAACACCGTCAGGTAGCCGACTGTGAAAGTGTCCTGGAGTGTGGCAACGTCGAGTGGGCTTATGGCCCCGGTGACTTTCCCTTTGGTGGGCCTGAAGGGCGATAAGAGAGATTGAGGCATCCTCAGTGGGTTCAAATAGAAGGCGCTGCGGGCTGGGCAGTGCCGCACGCAAGCATTATTGACCGTTGTGCGTTGCGCTCTCGTGTTGCCCATGCTGGCCTGTTGCACCGTGCGGCTAGTAGCTTGGCTCAAAGTGATACATGCATATGGCTGTGGGTGCTCACGAGTCTACAAAGATCTTCTGGCCGAGACGGGTGGTGATGTCGCCGCTGGTGATAGCCCCGTCAACGTAATGGTACTGCAGGGAGAGAGTGGATGGGCGTGATGGGGGGGGGTCATATTTAGTAGACTGCTGCCTTGACAGATACCGTAGTATATGAGCCAACGGATTGTCCTTTGTGCGTATGGACTAATTGTCCAGTTGGGATGTCAAGGGCTCATTAGGGGAGGAGTGTTGTGTGAGGCGCTCCCCTTGCTCGTTGCTTTACATATTGATAGCCAGCCCTTGCTTTCATACGCTTGCATTTCACAATCCTAATGTTGTTATTTTTGATTGCGATTTGCAATAATCCAGTTTATTGTAGAGAAGCTGACCTTTGCCAGTGTCTCCTTGAGCGTCTTGCTCTTGTCGATGGCGCGGATGTAGATGTCGGGGGACCAGGGCAGGAGGGCTGTCTGGGTGCCGAGGGCGTTCCAAGCAGAGTCCAGCGGCAGGAAGAGCTGCGGGCACATTGTTGGCAAAAGAAGAGAAGAAGGTTTTCGTCAGCAATGCAGTGACTTGTGTGAATGACATTCCCTGCTTGGCTTCTTGGCGTACCTCGAGCAAGAGCGTCAAAAGTGAAAGAGCAGCGGGCAAAATTGGAACATGCGCTCGCCACGCACCGTGCCGGTGCCGTTGGCGCGGAGGATGGTCTTGATCAGTGGCTTGAAGTAGCGCGCGCTGATCTTGGTGGTGCCCTTCTGGCTGGCCAGGAACTTGTCAACAGTCGCGTACGTGCCGGGGGTCAGCACCAGGGGCTTGTCGATCGCGTGCACAACGTACGAGCTGTTGCCGTCAACGTAGTCGCCGGCAAACGTGAGGTTGAAGCGGATAACCTTGGACTGCTCCTTGGCTGTGGGGTTGCCGATGAAAACGACCAGCTTGGAGTTGGAGGACTTGCTCTTGCCGGCCTTCCTAAGGAGCAGCACGGCGGTCGGGTCGTTCGGCGTCAGGAGGGTGTTGAGCGGTGTGCCGGCGTCATTGCCAGTGGTGATGGGCAGGAGGTACTGGGTGTAGACGCCCACAGCCACGTGGAACTTGAGGACCTGCATCGGCATGCAGAGCAAGCAAGATGCAGGATGTGGTCAGTGTGTGCAGCAGTGAGGTTGGGGCAGCCGCCTAAAGCATTTCACGCCCAGTGCTGACACACTTTGGCCTCCGTTTCCATTTCAATCGTGCCGAAACCATCGCATGGGCAACCACCTGCCCGATTAGCTTCCGCCACCGCACCTTGGTGACCCAGTTCAAGTACAGGCTGGAGGCGCCCTTGGCCAGGTCATCCAGGAGGGCCTGGGTGGACTTGAGGCCGACGGCCTTGGCAATGCCCACGATCGCGCTGTTAGTGGGACAGAACTGTGGCGGTGGGGGGGGGAAGTGGAAGGAATCGCATGGAGCTTTGTTGGCAGGAAAGCCCCAGAGGATTTGAGAGCACAGCATGCTTCACACCCTCACACGTCAATTGGATTGCCTGCAGTTGAGACGGGTTTGCACTGCAAGCCAGGCAGACATACTTCAATTGCACAGCTGCAAGTGTGAGGTCGGCCTCACGGTCAGTTCAGGCAGCACTCACCACAGTGGAGCCTTCGAACGAGATGCCAGCAGCACTCAGCAGCTTCTGACAATCTGACAGATCAGCCAGTGTCACCGGCTTGCCGCCGGGCTTCTCATATTCGCCGTCGGGCTTGTCCTCCCTGCGGCCGTCATTTCCGTTGTCGTCGTTGCCGCCGCCGCAGCCAGTGCAGTTGGGGCGCAGGAGGCTCTCTTCAATGGCGTGGACAATTAGGCCGGTGGCTGCGTTGTTCCAGGTGCCGGTAAACGTTAGGTCAAAGGCGAGCAGGTCCTCGTCCCTGCCAGCCCCGTCAACCTTGATCTTGATCTTGCCCTTGCCTTCGTTCTCCTGGCGGACGAACAGCTTCTTGTTGGGCTCGGAGGCGGTGAGAAGGGTGCTGATGGTGAGGCCACTGGTAGCAGCCACCAGGTCCGCCTTGGTGATGACCTTGCGGGGGTCTGCCACGTGAAAACGCAGGATCTACGCAGGCGCAGGTGGAAATCACAAGCTTGAGGGCTGAGGTGAAAACATTGGCGAATGCTTGACGCGTCTTTGCACATGGGGCCGAACTGGGACGCCACCCGTGCGGCTGATGGAAGTAACAAGTGCGCCAAGCCCCAAGAGGTGCCCGGCAAGCGCGTCGAGCCTCTGGCTGCGCGCAACGCTATGTCTGACGGATGGGGCGGCACGCACCCGCCACCCACCCGCGCGACCTTGGCCTGGTTTAAGTATACGCAAAGCATGCACGACCAACCGCACGCCCGGCCCTGCACGACTCACCCGCGCGACATCGGCCTTGTTTGCGTATGTGTCGATTCCGGCGACGAGGGCGTCGGCGCTGGCAAAGTTGAAGTACCTGGCCAGCTTCGTGATGCCAGAGTTGAGGGGGCAGAACTGAGGAGGCACGCGGGAAAAGGCAGGGCGCGGCAGTGTTACATTGCGATGGCGTGGCAAGGGCAGCCGGGACCTAGGGCCTGCGCAGGCAGGCAGGTGGGCGGCGAATAACGGGTGGCTGCGGAGCTGGTTGCTTTGACGCAACTGCCAACGGCTGCTACATGGGGCCGAGCCGGAGCAGGTGGCAATGGCGAGCAGTGGGCTCCCTCGCAGGCGCACCACGGTGGTGGCGGGGCCACTCTGCGCGATCTGGAGCTTGGCCAGCAGCTGGCCGCAAGCCGAGACGTCCTTGAAGGTGACACCCTGGTTGCAATCCACTCCGCCCTTCTCGCAGCCGTTGCCATCATCCTTGCCACCGCCGTTTCCGCCGAAACCGCCGTCATCCTTGCCGCCGCCGTCATCCTTGCCGCCGCCGTCATCCTTGCCGCCGCCGTCGTCCTTGCCATCTTTGGCCGCCGCGCTCCATGCTTTGTTGTCGGGACGCGCGTGCGGGGAAAAAGGGGTATGGCAAGGGCCCGTGAGGGTGGACGGCAATGATCGCGCCCTTAAATTTTCAACGTTCCCTGAAAGCGTGCTGATAGGGCGGTCGGGTTTGGCCGGCACGCGCCGGACACACCCAGGTGGCCGCTGCCCCCATGTTGTGCGAGCATGTACGTGCCATCAATAGAAGGAAAGTTTCAAGGCTTGACCGCTCACATGTTGCGCAGAGCAGGACCGCCAAAAACAACACGGTGGCCCTCGACGGCAAGACCATGTTGATCTTACAGGCTACTGTGGCGGGCTCAAATGTCGACGATGCGACCCGTATGACGTTTGTGTGATGTTAACCAGCATTGCGTGGGAGTGGAGCAGGCGAGGGAGGCACTCGTGTCACCCAACGTCCTGTACGCAAGAAGCCACAGCAGGACTTGGTGGACCTGCCTCGACCTAAATGCTGCCATCATGGCCATCGCAACTGACATCAAATCAATGTAGATTACCTGGATCCTTGCACCTCGGTGCGCTGGGCCAGCGGCTGCGACCTTTGTCCTGGTGAATCATGTGTAATGCACTCGAGTTTGATGACACATGAATCATCCAATGCCCCGGTGCCACTTATCAATGCGACTTGTCACAAAATGAAGTGTGCAAGCCGGCCCCGCAACTTTCTCACTACATGTGCTTTGGTGGAGCACTGGCATTTGCCCAGGGGCCGACACGCCCTGTCGCTCTGACAACACCACTTGCCCCACTCCTTGCCGAGCAGCACACGCTGTTTCCCTCCGTTCCCCCGGAGCGGCCCGCCACCGACAAACCCACATGCGCGACGGCATGTCGGCGTTACCTGCTGCACCTGATCAAACTGGTAACCCCGGCTGCGGCGCTTCGTCCTGCACTAGCCGGCCTGCGATCCTGTATGTGTATTCAGGAGTACCAGCGGGACGCGTACAGGCAAGGATGCCTTGAATGCTTTGAGCATACTGCTGCTTGCCACATCTGCCGCGTGCGGTGTCTCCGGTGAGGGCCGCTTCAGCCGCCACGCGGTAATCAAGTCCCCTTCAATGCATGCGTGCTACGTCGATTGTATTCATGCAGAAGAGGTCATAATGTGCACTGTGCTGCCGCGGTTTTTGGCTGCAGGTGGCGGTCTTCCTGCAGGGGGCCTCAGCCAGCCAGACGCTGGCACGGAGGTTGGTGCTGAAAGAGTTCGCAAGCCAAGCATCTGGCGGGCTGCGGTTGCACCAAAACTGGCTTCCACGCAGCATTACCTGAATGATTTCTTTGCACGGGATTGTTACGGGATCTTGTATTTCAATCCTAATCCTTTGCAAAAAGGAATGGTTTGGTACCGTGACAGCATACATGCATCTCTAGGTGCGCCATGGTCATGGCAGCAACACCTCGCTTGCATTTGTCAAAAAATGCTGAAAAGGTACACCTAGAAGAGGTGTCAGGTTGCTCGATATGATGGTGTAACCAGCAGCAGGCTATACCTCAGCCAATGGTAACCGTACCAGCGCCCCAACCAACCCACCTGACCCGTGCCCACCGGAGCCGCACACAATCTGCCCTCGCATTCATGTCTTCCGCCCAGCACCTTTCCTGATGCATTGTAAAATGTGTGGTTGTAGGTGTGCTTCACTGTCGCTCTGAGCCCCGAACCACTATCCATTGGCTTGCAACAGATGCGAATACCACTGGGAAAAGGCAGACAGGCCCTGAGTGCCAACTCCAGCTTCCGCCGGCACCCCCAACTCTAGGAGCCTCTTCGACCAAAAACGTCACACGGCATGCCGGATCCAATTCGTCTTTGTCTCTTCGACTCTTCGACGTGGAGATCCGCGGCCATGGCTCACCTGGGAGCCACAGGCACCCTGCTAGTGTTTCTGCTGTGTGCTTCAGGTGAGCCGGAAGGAAATGAGCTCTGTCAACGCTTCGCCGTCGTCTATGGTCTTCCTGATGAGCGTGGCTGCCGGGCTCGGTTCGCGCACCGTCGTCCGGCATAATGTGTGGTATACATACAAGCAGTGACCACTGTCAGACAATGAATCGCTGTGGATGCTGCTCCTACACCTGCCGCACTCTCCCTCCCCGCTTTGATCCAGCGTCGCCTATCGCCGCGCATGACGGGGGTGGTTGGGGCCACGACGGTCGGGGCAACGACTGCGACCGTGGCGGCATCATCTGCAATGTGGGGATTGCACTTCAGGACGTCTCTTTTTGTGTCAAGATCCTGCAAAAGCTGAACATCAGTCAAAGCGGGCCCAGCACCACAGCGGTGTGCAGTCGACACATGGGCCGGGCCATGTGCGGGAGCTGACCTGCTTCTGCGCCCGTGTCTCCGTGTCTCCGGGCTCCGTGTCTGGCCTTGAGCTGGCCGCTGACTGTGATGCATGTTGGAGGGGGTCGCACGTCGAGGGCCCAGACGCTGGCAGCAATTGTTTCGTGCGGCTGCAGCGCACGCGCGGTTGCCCGCGTTCGCTGCTCAGGGACGCGCTCACGTATGCGCTGACCAACCCTCGATCGTGACCACGGCACGCATGTGAATCAACGAGTGCACCCGCCCACACACAAAAAACGCTCACAGACATGCATGTTACAGGCCACGACACCATCGCATCATTGCAAAAGCAATGGCACTGCAGCGATCGATCTTTCCTCCCTGCCCACGCACCCCCTCCATTTTGCAGTTCTGCCCCTTGAACCCAACCCTGGTGAAGCTGGCCCGCTACTTTGGATTCAAAGGCGTCGACGATCTCCTCGGAAAGGTCGACGCATCACCTTACAAGGCCGAGATCATGCGGGTGCGGCCGCCGTCCGCAGCTGCTGCTGCCAACTGTGACGCTGCCAACCTCTGCTCGCCCACCTTGCCCCCAAATCCACTACCTCCCTGCTGTACGTTCCTCAAGCGCAGTCTTTCCCACTGAATTCGGCGTCACGCCTCCTCCCGAATCCCCACGTGCACGCACCAGGTGCTGAGCCATCACGTCCTGGATCCCAGGAAAGTTGTGACGCGCACAGACCTGCTGGCCGCCCCCAACGGCCTCGTGTACACAACCCTTCTGAGCAGGAGCGAGCCCGGCAAAACGCTGGTCCTCAATTCCAACACCAATCGCAAAGGGCGCATCCAGGTGCGCGCGGCCGCAGCCCCCACGGTGCACGCCGCACCGTGCACAGCAGCGCCCGCGCCGGCGCTCGCTGCCCATCCCCTTACCGCTGGCCGCGCCAAGCCCTTTGAAACATGCAACACCATACATACTAGCATGCCTCGCATCCATGCCCGCACTGCTGTTGCTCTGCAGCTGACTGTGACGGGTGCCACAAGGGCACAGGCCATCCTCGCCTTTGATTTGTCATCGGCCGGCGGCAAGTGGGCCAACGCTTCAACTGGGCTCATCATACACCCCATTGAGGAGCCCCTGCTGACGCCGAATTGCACGACCTGCGGCTCCAGTGGCGGTGGTGGCAGTGGCGGCGGCGGCGGCGGCGGCGGGGCGGGGGGGGGCAGCTGGCGGTGGTGGGGGCAGTGGCGGTGGGGGCAGTGGCGGCGGTGGTGGCAGTGGCGGCAATGACGGATATGGCCCTCCCAGCCCCGACGGCGACTACGGCCGCCCAAGCGGCAAGCCGGCAACGTTTGCTGACATTTCCGACTGCCAAAAGCTGCTGGATGCAGCAGGGATCATGTATGACGGTTCCACTGTGGTGAGAGCCGGCGCTTCTTATAGTTGATGCTTGGTCCAATGGCGTGGACCTACTGGGCTGCACTTGGCGATCCCAGGCAAGGCGCCCACTTGATGTGTGATCTGAGTCTGGGATACCGAGCAGCTGCTTGGAGTTGTGCATGATTCTTCAGATTCTGTGCCCCCCCTGCCCTGCCAGCCGGTTCACGTCTCCTACTGGATTATCTTTTCCCCGCTCACAACTGCCGCAGTTCTGCCCCACCAACCGCGCGATCGTGGGCATTGCCAGGGCCGTCGGCCTCAAGTCCACCCAGGCCCTCCTGGATGACCTCGCCAAGGGCGCCTCCAGCCGCTACAGCAATTGGGTCACGAAGGTGGGCAGGCGTGCGCGTGTTTACCTTGTTGGGGCAGGTGTGGGGGCCGGTGCAGGTGAACATTTCATTGCTGCAATTGCATTCATGTATCAGGGTCGTCCTCATGCACCAGCTGTTTCGGCCTGTTTTGGTTTGGCTGGTGTGGCCAGTGCACCCGGAGCAGAACCAACCTCAAAACCTCAGCCTGTAGGTGGCTTGTTGGAGCCGATTGAGATGTGGCGCCGAAGGGAACGCACCATCAAGAGTCAGCAGGGCCTCCCGCGAAGCCGCCTTGTCAGACCTTGCAGGGCACCCTCTCACCCTGCCTTGCCCTCCCCCCCTTACACAATGGCGCCCGCACCCGCCGCCAAGGTCGTGGTCGACCCCCCCGCCTCACTGCTGCGCACCCCACCCACTGTCATTGTCCCCACCGTCTGCCTCGCACTTGCCCTGCACATCCCCTACACAGGTCCTCAAGTTCCACGTGGCCGTGGGCGTCTACACCCAGTACCTCCTGCCCATCACCAACGACACGACCGCCGGCGTGCCGCTCAACACGCTGCTCACCGCCGACGACGCGGCCGCCGTGCTCATGCTCCAAAAGGCGCCGCGCGGCAAGGGGCCGCGCTCCAAGCTGCAGGTTTCCATCAGCAACCCCGCCGTCGGCGCCCGCGAGACGTCCCGCGTGGTCGGGTTCAACTTCTCATTCACGGGCGACTACGTCAGCGGGACCGACAAGTTTGTGGCCCACGCGATCGACAGGCCGCTCGTGCTGCCGCCCAGCACGTTCACGAACATCGACAAGCTCATCACCGCCCTCCAGGGCACCGCCAAGATCAGCGCGCGCTACTTCAGGCCGCTCATCAACACCGCGCTCAAGTCAAACGGCGCCGGCACGGTGAGCGATGATCAATGCAGGCTGAGCCCCGCTGAGAGGGCGTGCTGCGTTCAAAGCATGGAAGGGGCTTGGTCAACGCCGGTCAAGCCAAGCAGTGCTGTCAGTTCATGGGGTGCGTTTGAGACCCAGCAGCTGAGAATCCGCCACACCACGCCGCAAGCTACGCCTCACGATTGTCCGCGGCCGGCCCCTGTGCCCCCAACCCTTTCTCCTCCTTGCGCCCGCAGCTCTTCCTGCCGCTGGACTCTGCCTGGTACGCCCTGGGCACCAGCGGTCCCTCGACCTCATGGGCCCCCAACTACTTCATCCGCGCCATCGACAAAAACAGAAAGCTCAGGGACGCGCTCGCCAAGGTGCGCACAGCGCCCAGCCGAACGCCTGCCCGCAGCCGCCGGGCGCTTGCACGCCAGCCGCTTGCGCGCCCGAGCAATGGACGGCGCTTGCGTGCACCTCCTGCCGCAAACCCTCTGTGCGTTGACTGTGTGTCAACTGCATGCCACCTCTGAAACTTGGCCGTGGCTGCACCCTCCCAATCGGCACCCTGCTTGCAGTACCATTACGTGGATGGCACCATCACAGGTGAGGGCTGCGCTGCTGCTCAGGTCCCCAGCAGGCTTGAGAGCCTGCCGGCATCCAGGCGTGCCCGCTTGTGTTTGTAATCGCCGCCGTTGCCCTGTTGCGTTCATCGGCTGCAATGCTGGCGCCTGGCCCCCACCATTTGATACCGTCCCCTCACAGGCACGGGCAACGTAACAACTTTGTATGGCGAGCCCATCATCCTTGACTCGTGAGCTCCGTGTTGGGCGCATGCAACCAGGTTGCGTGCGCGCGTGCGACCATGTTGTCTACATCCAACCAGGCCGCTGCTGGGTGCCTGAACGCGCACACAGCTCATTGACTCGTTCTGCATCGCGGCCAGCCCTTGCTCATTCCCATGCACCCTGTGCAAATGTCTTCGGTGGCCCGCGTTTCACGCCACCCCGTTTGAGCTCAGCATTGAGCTCCTGTCGTGCCCCTATTTGTTGTGGCAACCTGCAGGCCCACCGTTGGCAAGGTCACAGGCAACCTGAGTCCCCAGGACGTCGCAACCCTCAAGGAGTCCTACACCGTCGCCCAGCTGACCGTCAACGTGCTCGACGGGTACCCCCTGCTGCCCAAGTCCACCCCGTGAAGGGGCGCCCACCCACAGGCGCAGCGTGTTGCCTATGAACGTCAAGCGCCCAGAGGGACGCGCCAACTTTTCCCAGGATGCACCGGGTGCGCGACGTTGTCAACTTTGCCAGGAAGAGCGCTGCTTGGACACCAGGCTGCCCAAGCCTCGTTTCGCGTTGTGGCCAAGTGGAAGGCACTGGAGACAACATCCGAGGCCGAAATCAAGGGCGAGGCGCTTCATATGCCACTCTGAACTTGCACAGGATGATATGGAACTGAACCGCCTGCAAACCTAGTGCTATGCCTACCAACCCTGGGCCAAACGTTTGGCTCAGCACGGATTCGGAATGCAAGCGCCGCCCATGCGGCACAGAAACATTGTAGGCCTCCATCGGCCGGGTTTGTCATCGGCCTGCAAGCAGCACAGGCCTGCCTTGAACTTTGGACCTGTCAGACCTTGCTGCACAGGAGCGGCCTTCACAACCGCTGCACGTTGCACACCATCTCATCGCATGCAAATTGCCAAACTTGGTCCGACCTCGGACCACACACTTGGGAAGGATACGTGCCCTCTGGCGGGTGCTTTGCCCATTTGTTGCCTTGAAGTCGGCTGGACACCCTCTGCTGTGCCCTCTCGCCATCTGCGTGCCATCCACTTGCCCCTGAGCAACGCTCAACCCCCTCACCATGCCCTTGTTGAAACCCCACACGCAATGCATGCCCAAACCATACCCCTGAATGTTGACACTGCTTGCGTGCGCCGTCAGATCGAGCCTGGACACGACCCCCTTGGGTCGGGACGCTTTGCCCCATCCCCGCTTGTGTAGAGGACAGCCCGCCATCGCTGTCCCAGGAGCATCGCCTTGATCGCCTCAGCTGATGTGCGGCTGGGCATCTGCCATGCTGCACCCACAAATTGCACCCACACAACACCTGTGCCGTCCCATGCACTTGATCACACAAATGCCCCTGCATCCTTGGGGCTTGGGATACGACCTTTGGCATGGAAGGCATGCCTGCGGCCAGTCCCTGAGGTTGCCGGCCTTGTCGACCGGTGATACCAGTGACAGTTTCCTTGAAGACCACACAAACTGCTTGAACAGAACCTGTGCTTACGTATGGAGTAATGAAGAGTTTGAAGCTGCACACTATGATTGAGATCTCCTGATATGTCAGGGGCGAAGATGACGGCTAGTTAGCCAGTGCAGCACGGCTGATAGACGCCCCTGGCGCACACGACTGAGCTGTGCCGCCCATGCGCACCGCAGCATGTTTTGGCTCACAAGACGTTTACAAGAAGTATAGATTTGTCAACGAAAGCAATCAAGCAGTCTGGCAAACTGCACAGTCTTAGGAGCTACTCAACAGTTGCTCCACACAGCAAGACTGCGCTTTGGCATCGCAGCGCTGTCAACACGCACACGCCTGCTTGGCCGTGCATCATTGGCCGTGGGTACTAATTGCAGTCGGCGGGCCGGTCAGGCCTCGATTGTTATCACCAACCAACTCCGACTGCACACAGCCGCCGCCTGCGCCGCTTGAAAGGGGGCCGGCCCAAGCGGCTGCGACATGGGGCCGCCATCAATTTACGCCGAGCTTCGAATCAATCTGGCCGAGCCGGCCGCCCGCCCCTCCATTGACTGCGTGCGCAATTGCCGCCCGCAACAGAGAAGGGCCTGTGCTGGCCCAGACGCGCAGCCCGCATCAAAACGTGCCCCGCGGTCAGCGAAATGCAGGCACACGCATGGGCGGTGCGCGGTTTCTGCAGACCGCTGCTCGTATTCTTCTTGTGCATCAATCCCTGCGACGAAAGCGCGCGGACGCAAGGGTTGGTGGTGCTGGATGGCATAGGGCCCTCCCCCCAAGGTGAACATATTGGACGATGCACTCAATTTTGTGCTTGGCCACGGCCCAACCAGCCAGAACAGCAGGCCCCCTAGCAAACAGCAGCCAAGAGCGAGCATGGAACCAAACATTACTGACATCCAGGCGCAGGCAATTCACAACAGAAGCCGCAGTGCACCGCGCAGGCTCGCCGGCCAGCTGCAAAGGGCAGCTGCTACTGTAGGATGCAGCACCCGGGCAGCAACATCAGCGACCAAGGCGTCCAGTGCAGGCTGCACCGCGCATCAGAAGCAGCTGCCTGGGCAGACTCCCACCTGAGGTACCAGGGGCGGAGGCCAAAGCGCGCCACCATGAAGTTCACCTTGGCCTGTATTGGCAAGCAGGGGTGTGTGTAACACAGTGAGTGTGTGTATGCGTGTGTATGTGAACGTGTGTGTGAGTGTGTGAACGTGCGTGTGTGTGTATGTGTCTGTGTGAACGTGTGTGTGCGTGTGTGAACGTGCGTGTGCGTGTGTGTGTACGTGTACGTGCATGCGTTTTTGTGAGAATTGGCGTCAGCTGTGTGTTCATGGTCACTGCAGGTGATGTCTGGAAGGGGCACGAGAAGAGTCAACAGGTTCATCGCTCTCCTGCAGCGGCACCCTGCGAGCCTGCGCCCTGCAACCCTCCCCTCCCTCAGGGCCCGTCCGACCCAACCAAAAGCTTTGCCCACTAGCCAGGCACGGCGCGAGGGCCCGCGTTGGTGCTTGGCGGTGGTTGTGATGGGGCCGTGGCAATCGAGGCAGGTGGGGTGGGTGAGTGGGTGGGTGGGTGTCGCGGTGGGCAGCCACCCACCCAGTTGATGTCCTGCCAATAGTGGTACACGATGCCGCCGGTGTCGCCGCTGTTCTCGTTGTAGGCCCACCAGTTCCAGCCGTTCACAGGGACACTCGTGTACTTGGCAGCCTCGCCCTGGAGGAAGGGTGCCGCATAGTGTGTGTGTGTGTGTGTGTGTGTGTGTGTGTGTGTGTCAAAGGAGGAGGTCAGGGTAAGGCCGGTTTAGGGGGGGCCGGCATTTTGTGCTCATGGTGCTACTGACAGGACAATTAGTCGAAGCGACCGTCTATTTGGCAAACGTCCCACTGCACCTTATCTGGCGTTAATGCAATTCGAACTACTGCGGATTACATCTGGCACTCCAAAACAGCCCAAGTCTCTGCCGACGCATACCCACTCCATCCCAGCCTCGTCACACACATGCACACATGCAAGCACGCGCTCAAGCTCATGCACACGCGCACACACGGGCGCACCTCCGCGTTCATGTAGTCCGCAAAGTCCTGCAGCCACTGCTTGTCATCCGACGTCTCAAAGGCCGAGCCCGTCTCACCGATGAGGATCGGGAACACCTGGAGGGGCGGGTGCGATGACGTCATTCGTTCACCCGCAGGGTGGCGCGCAGGGATGGGGCCTGGGGGCGGCGCCATGCTCCGCCATTGCGAGGCCCGTCGGGGCAGCAAGGAGCGGTAGACATGGTGCCGGGGGCAGCAGGACCTCACCGTGGTGGCCGGTGAGGAACTAGATTGAATTGTCGCCCCGCACCTTGCAGTCGCCCCCGCTGGCGGGGCAGAAGCCCTTGTCCTGCAGGTACCCGAACGCGGTGCGGCACTGGTCCCAGAGGGTGGTGCCCAGGAAGGTGGCGTGGGTGATGGTGGGCGGGTACACGTGGGGCGTGATCACCACCTGGGAGGGCGAGAGGGCCAAGTTGGGGGCGTAGCGCGCAGTTGAGGTGGAGTGGAGAGTGGAGAAGGAGCCGTCAGGGGAGAGACGCCACAATGTGTGTATAGTCACCATCAAATGGAAAAGCCAAACAGGCACTTGCTGCTGGGCAGACAGCGATAGCGCGCCGGCTAGCAGCGCCTGCGAGGAGGCGCCGAAAGGTGACGCTTTTCACAGCGCGCTGACGACGCGCCCCTTCAAATTGCATCTCATCCCGCCCTGCCCCCCACCTTGTTCACGTAGCTCTTAGTCAGCAGCTCGTTGAAGAAGGGCGTCACGTCGGACAGGCCCCTGTTGCGGATGACCTCCTGGTCTGTCACAAAGCCGTTGCCCCAGTTCAGGCCAAAGCCGCTCTGGCCGGTGCCTAGGGTCAACGGGCGGCGGCAGGGGCAGGGATAAGGAGTGTGGGGAAGGGAAACGTGTTGGGAACCGTTGAACCCATGTGCACGATTCCATTGTGCACACTTCCCCAAGACGGGTTGGGTGTTATTGTGCTGTTGTAGTGTCCCAGGGCGAGAATTCAGCACATCAGGCCTCAAGGCCGCCCAGCCAAAGCCGGCCGCCGCCGAGCACCAGCGCTCTATCAACAACCCGCAGCGCCATGCATGGGGATGTGCCGCCCTCCCTCAATCCCCAGCCCAGCAGTCGCTGCTCCTCCGCCGCTCCCTCGCCCGTCACCCCCTCACTCCCCAGCCCAGCCCAGCTGCCGTGCCGCCGCCGCAACTCCCCCCCAAAGCCCAGCCGCCGCGCCTCCCTGCCCCCCCCCTCACCCTCAAACATGAACATGACCTTGTTGGGCGTGGTCTGCCAGATAGAGTCCGCCGTCGACAGGTACAGCTGCTGCGCCCCGGGGCGGCCCCCGCTGGCCTCCCACCGGACGCCCATCGAGTCCGGCTCATTCATTACGTCCACAAACACGCGGTTCGCCAGGTCCGCGTCGAAGTTGGGCAGGCACGCCACCTGGCGCCAGAGGTCGGTCCACTTGTCCACAAACAGCTTCAAATCGTAGGGGTGCTGCTCCAGGCCCTACTCGGAACGGCCACGGCGGCCAGCGGGCGGAGGGGGCCGGCAGACATGATTAGCGGGGACCGCCGTGCGCCGGGTGCGAGGGCCCGGAGACCGGCTATCAAATGCGTTTGCCAGCCAGGGCCGCTTTTGCAACCGCTCAAGGGGCCGCCGTCGGGAGGCGTCCCACCAACCAGCGGGCGCTGCCGGCCTGCAGGCGCGCTTGCCCGCGACCAGCGCGCACGGGCTGCCGCCGCTTCCGCCCCTCATCCTGGGTGGCGCACCATGGGCTGGTAGTCCAGCACGACGTATATGCCCTGGGCGATGAGGGACTGCACCACGAAGAACAACCGGTGGTAGTTGCTCTTCTGGGGGAGGTACTGGTTGCAGTAGCCGGCCTGCGGCGGGGTTGTCGGGAGTGCGGTGGATTTGTTGAGCAAAGGATGGTGGCTCAACACGTGAGATGGCCGCATCGGCCAGTAGACCACACAAAGGGAGGCGACAGCATCGTCCTGACACGCTGGTGTACAGACTCCGAGGATGCGCCCTCGGCCTCGTCCAAACTCTCTCGCCTACACTCCGACATACACATTCATTTACACACATACACGCGCGCGCGCACGCACGCACGCACACACACACACAGACAAGTGTGTGCACGCACAAATGTACACACACACGTACGCACACACAAACACACACACACACGCGCACTCTACCCCACCTTCATCTTCTTCTGCGGCGACACGTTGCCCGGCAGCGGCTTGCTTATGTACTTCTCCATCACGTTGGGGCTGATGAGGCGGCGCTTGAGGAAGTTCACGTTCACGGGGCTGCAGTCCTTGTCCAGCACCTTAGGGGGCATTTCCAGGTCCTTCCAGGTAAACGGCAGGCGCACCGCGTTGTAGCCCAGCAGCCGGATCTGGGGCCGGCAAGGGGCAACATTTGCGTGCGTGTGTGGGAGGCAGGGGGACAGGGGGTGACAAGGGGCCGGATGTGGTTTTTGGGGGAGAGAGAGGGAGGACAGGATGATGAGAGGGGGCAGCGAAGGGTAGTTGCGAGTGCATGTGCATGTGCATGTGTCGGCGGTGTGCGGGCGGCCGTGCACCTGAGGCGTACGAGTGGGCAAGCCAGACAAGGCGGGGTGATGCGTGCGGTTGCGGTGCAGGATGCGTGCTGAGTCGGATACCTGGTGACGCCCGCCCCGCGCTTCCGCTCGCTGCCGGCACCCCCTTGAGAGTCTCCCACACTGCTGCCACTGCCGTGAGGCCGGCCACCAGGCCCTTCCCGCCCCCTTCGCGCCCACCTGGTATGTGATGAGGGCAAAGTCCGTTGCCGCCTCTGTGCCGCCAGCCCACAGGCCGTCCACCATCCCCATGCCCACGTTGAAGCCAAACCTGGGCACGTCAAGGGGGCCAGCCGGGCGCCCTGATTCTGCAGTCACGCGCCTGCTTGCTGATCCATTTCACATGACGGCCGGCGAGCCTAGCACTCACGATTGCGCGGGGGCGCTCCTGCACTTCTGGCAGGCTCTTTTCAGGCCCATACTGCAAGGACAGGCGACTGGCGCTGTAGCGAGTCTTGCCGCCTTGTGTTTCCCAGTGTGGGCCAGGGGTGCCCGGGCCGCGCTGCCGTCCTGGCCCCTGCCCCTGCCAACTGGCGCTCACCAGTTGAGGCCCCGCAGGGCCACAGGGTTGCCGGACTCGGCGTTGACAATGCGGTGGCCGTTGATCGACAGCGGCGGCGGGGGCGTGCCGCGGACCGGCATGTCTGGGGTTTGCGGGGAGGCGCGGGCGCAGCGGCGTCGAGCACGGGCCGATGCAGCGAGCGGCCGGGTGTATTTTATATGTGGGTGCAATCGCACGGGAATTATGAGGGGACAGGCACCTTGGGGTGGCCGTGAACGGTGTGCAGTGCACTGTGATGCGACCAACCACCAAACCAACCGCCACTTGCAGCGGCTGCCATGCTGGAGGACCGCAGGCAGAATGGCGCGCTGCAGGGGCAGCCGACCTGGCGGCTGCAGCTGGCAAAGCATAGGTGGCAAGGTCAAACATGTGCTTATGCGCGCGGCGCACCGTAGTCCAGGTTGACTGTGCTGCACCAGCTGTATGCTGACCCCCTCAGCTGCCTGCGCGGCGCCGCTGCTGCCGCTGCCGCCACGACCTGCTGCCCTAAGAAGAGCACCAACCAGCTCGCCAACGCTGCCCGTGCCAGCGCCATTGTCTCCGATGCCTGCTGATGCACCTTGCGGCGCCCTGCAACAGAGGCCTGCGTGCGCCTGCTGCACGGACCGTGCGCCGATGCCAGTCACGGCAGTCAGACCGCTCCGTTGGCAGGACCTGCGAGAGCGGGTGATGCGGATGCAATAAATTCCAAAGTTTCATGGCTGCTGTGGTTCAGGCTCGACCTAAAGCGGAGGCCCGCCCAGCGGCCCACACCCGGGACTTTGACTCCCACCAGCTGCGAATGGTTGGGTTTCACCGGCAGGTACGGGTGACAAAGTAATAATGAAAGCTTTGTGCAACATACATGCGGTGATCAACGTGCAGACGGGCACTCGCGAGTGATCCAGTCTGAGCCCCTTGCTCAAGTGGCCCGTGAGCATGCCCGCAGTGGCTCACCCTCTAGATCTATTGGATTTCTATGCTACAGTTTCCAACACCCCAATCCGCACAAGGGGTCCGGGGCTTATGCCAACCAACACGCAGCGGACCAGGTCAAACTGCAAGTAAATGGCGACATATGCAACCGAAATATTGTCATACAGCGTTCGTTATGCATACAAGCCACTGCTGCCGCGTCCGGATGACAGCAGTGCGATCGCCGATTTCCGCATGTGCCCACGGCGTTCTTCAGCGGCCCTTTGATAGTAAATAAAGGCGATTGACATTCAGCTCGGTGTTGCATCGCCCCCTGCGGCCCCGGAACCGTCGACCACGGGTGCCAGGGCCCTTGCTTGAAGTCACCCTAGGCCAGCCCAAGTGCCTCGCAGACCAATAAGCGTGCCCGGGTCATCTGGTGCAGGTGCTGCTTCTGGATTGGTCATCGGTCTGATGTTGTACTCAAGATGAATCACCGAACTTGCTCAAGATCTCACTTATTGCCTGATGACTTTCCCACAAACGCCAACAACACGCCTTTGTGGACGTCGGTGGCCTGGCTGCGGCCCCCCCAAACCTCCCTTACTGCAAACATCCCTCAGGCGCCTCGCCCCCTTGAAAACCATCCTTTTGGCCCCAGTCAACCCAAGGCGCAAAAGGTTTACACCGCGGCGCCCGCGAGCCGCCGTGCGCGCTCCTCCGCCTCTGCCCCTGCCGCAGCGGCCAGCTCTTCCCCGCCGTCGACGCCGCCGCCCAGCGGGAACACGCCGCGCAGCACCACCGTCCCGTCGGCTTCCAGGTCGTATGTCACGTCCATCCCATCCAACACGACAATGTACCTGCCACGTGCGGCCTCGCCGTCGCCGTTGCCGTCGCCATCGCCGGCAGCCCTGCTGCTGATTGCCCCCGCGTCGCTGCCTAGGTGGTTGCTGCTGCTGCTGCTGGCAGCCGCCAACGCAGGCGTCCCCGCCGCCTGCTGCTGCTGCTGCTGCTGCTGGCCGGCTTTGCTGCCCACTGGGTGTATGTTGAGCCGCTGATTCAAGGACCGGATGTCTCTGCTGAGCACCTGGGAAAGGACAGCAAGCGGCGATCGCACAATCATGCGCCGCGCTATCGTGCTGCCCCTTGGGCCGCAGGTGCGCTGAGCGGCTCGATGCGTTGTGAATGGCCAAAGTACACAAACTGTCTGCCATGCATGATGCCAGCTTGACCGGGCATATGCACGCCGGCGCGCAAGCAGACCTTGCACCCAGAGGGCATTCGGACGCGCAGGGGCGCAAGCTGCCCAGCCGAGCCCCACCTGCTTTATCAACTCCACCACCTCAGCCGCGCTCTTGTAGACGGAGCCACCCCGCTGCGCCCGCCACACGCGCCCCACCATGGTCTCCACCCCTGGCGGCACCACCACAGAGCTGAGCCGCAGCGTCTCGTCGTCCGCTTCAGCCTGGGGGTGAATTGCAAACAGCGACGATGAGGCAGGCTGGGGTGGCCATCAAGGCACACGCGCGCACAGCACCCCACGCGAGCGAGCAAACGGGCTGATAGACGCCCCAGGTGCCCCGCACAGGCGCACACCCTGGACCACCCCTATACTTCCAAAACCCTCGGCTCAGCAAGTTCACGCACCACGTGCCGCCGCGCGCACCCACCTTCACCCACGGCGGCGCAGACGCGCCCGGCACCGAGTCGCAGAAGGGCACGTAGGGCTTAATGTCCAGCACTGGGGAGCCGTCCACGATGTCCGCACCCCCCAGGATGAGGGTGCCGCCCTCCACCCCCAGGATCTGCGCGGTGCCAACCAAGGATTCAGAAAGAAATGACAGCTGCGAGGCGGCGGGGGGCCGTGCGCCGGCGCGGCCGGCGCGCCAAGAGTGGGGATCGGTTTGGGCAGCAGAGGCGAGCGGCGCGGCCGGGGCCCAATTTCGCGCGCCGTGGAGTTGGCGAGGGGAGGGCGGTGGGGGCCCGACCTTGGCAACGCTGAGGCCTATGGGCGCCGGCCTGTGGGGGGTGCGTGTCGCGAGGACGCCCATCTTCGCGCCGTCCAGGCGCGGCACGCGGATCTTGGCCTTGAAGGCCGTGGGGGCCGGGCCGGCGAGGCCCTTGCCGGAGGTGGTGCTGGCTATGACCCTGGGCATGTCTGGTGGTGGACGTGTGAGGGATGGGGGAGTGGCTTTTTCTCGCACTGGGCCGGGGGTTGGGGATTGTGCAGTAAAAGAGGGGCGGGTTGTGCCGCGGCCAAGGTGAGGGTGCGGGGGCCCGACGCCCATCCTTGAGACGGCGCGCGACTGCCACAATCGCTGCCGTCGACGGGCTGAGGCGTTGCAAGCCCGGTAGTGTTCAAGCAGTCAGCGACCCAAGAGCGGCGGGTGCGAGACCCTCCCGCCAGCCGGCAGCCGCGGTCGTTGCGCCCCGCGCGCTCACTCGTGTTGGCGTGGAAGAGGTACAGCACCCAGCAGTGGCTGTACTGAGTCAGCCCCTCCAGGCAGTCGGGCGAGACGTAGGGCGCCAGCCGCAGCACGCCGCGCGCCGCGGGCACCAGCAGCGGCTGCCGCGGCGTGCCGTTCCTGCGCGCGAGGGCAGTCGCTGGACGTGGGTGTGCGGCGTGCGGCAGCGGTCGCAGCAACCGCTCGGCACAGCCAGGGGCCGCCCGCAGCCGTGGCGCAGCAATGGTTGCTTTTGAAGCCGCCCAAAGATGCGGCCTACGCCCGCTCATTGCCAAGCCACACCCAGGTGTGCGGGATCAGGGCCGCACCTGGTAGAGAAGCAGGTCTGCAGGACGCCGATCGGGCGCATCGGGAACATGGTGATGGGCGCGTGCTGCCCCCTCACGCCCGCCACGCTGCTCGCCGCCGCCCCGAGCTTCTCCAACACCATGGGGCCGCCGCCTTCGTCCTCGCCGCCGTCATTGCCGTCACCGGGGTCGTCTCCAGCTGCTGCCGCCACGTCCGGCAAGGACGCCCCATCCGGCGCGCCGCCGGCCGTGCTCTCAGGTTCAGCAGCGTTGGCCTGCGCGGCGGCGAGCTGCATCCTGACGTACCGCAGCTGCTTCTCAGCATTGGTGCGGCCCTTGCGCTCCATCGCCCGGTTCTCCTTCTCATGCTGCAGCGCGGCCTTTGGGGGGGTGGGGGGGGGGGGCGGGGCGCCGCCCGCACGGCCGCACAGGCACGAGGTTTGGCGACCTCAACGTCACAGCCGTCATGTCGCAGACGTGCTCAACGCACTGGCTGCCGCAAAACGGTTGCCGGATGTCACACCCATGCAATCAGTGTTGTATCGCCTCCAAGCGCACCTGGAGCGACTCCAGTGCCGCCTCTGCGTCGGCGGCTCGGCGGAGCAGCTGCTGCACCCACCATGCTGCGAGCATGACTGTACTAGCTCCTGCAACGGAGGCCGCCAGGGCTAGTGATGCTTGCCGTGCCGACATTATTGAGAAAATACGCCGCTGCTATCGTACAACGTGGACTCGCGATCAGACTGTGTTTGAGATCAAGGATTATGGCACTAACATTGCATCGTGACAGGATGAGACATTATGATACGTTGATGTCTCTCTGTGTAAGAAGGCAATTCATGGCACCCATGTGAGCACAGCCTGGCGAGCTGCCTACCGCAGGGTGCAGCAGCTGCTCCGCCGAGCCGCCGACGGTCTACCGTATGAGTCTATATTCATCCTCATCGCGGCCAGCGTAGCTCCCCCAGCCCCTCCTTATCGATCGCAGCGAGCGAGTCCGCAATCTTGGCCAACAGGTGTTGCAATCGAAAATGGCTGGCCACCCGGCGCCATAGGCCGCCGACTCGCATTGACTGCACATCCCATGGTCATGGTGGTGGTGGTGGTGGCTGGCCTTGCGACAGAGCATCCTGCATGCAGCATGCGACAGTGTTGATCCACAGACACTCCCACTTCCTTCGCTCAGTCGCCGCTGCATGGGCGCCGCGGCTGGAGAGCGCCAGGCGCAGCAATCAGACGGGCTTGCGGGTGACGTGGAGCCCAGCCAGAGCTGTTTAAGATACAATACGTACAGTGACGAAAAGCCCTCATGCGTGGCCAGCCAAACACGCCGTGTCGATTTCAAACCAGCCGTGCCTTCCTTGTGTTTAGAAGTCTGATGCGTACCGGTACTCTTTGCTGCTCTGATGCGCTGCCTCACGCTTGCATGGCAGCGAGCCAGCACCCACCAGGGACCGGCCTGCAACCCGACCACCTCCAAGCAGAAATTCAACACAGGACAATCATGTGCAGGACCGTAGTATTGCAGACGTTGACCGGCGGTGTGGAACTGCGCAGCATTCTTGCCCTGCGGTACCTCACAGATCACGACTGTTGCACTGTAGAAGGCAGCCCAACTCGGCCCGCGGGGGGCCGGGAGAGGCCCAAAAGAAGCCCCTCCATGTAGACTGGGAAGACTGACACGCAACTGCACAACAAAGCGCTGGACAGAAGCTAACGGCAGCTCACACTTCCGGGGGTAAAGAGTGCGTGACCGGCGCGTCATCCGTTTCCTTGAGGTTCCACCAGCGCAGGGCAAGCTGGGGCCCAAGCGGCCCCGAGGGGACCTGCAGCTCCTGTTTGGGGTAAAATGGTGATTAAAACGGTCGATGATTCCATTTCTAAAGCTCACATGGTGTCGCGATGACACGTCCGTCACACGGCCGCCACTGAGCACCTGGCTGCTGGCCTGGCAGGCCGGTGGCCTGGCTGCAGTTACCCCCCGACCCAGCTGCATGTGCTATTCGGGCAATTAGACACAGGATCCAATGTTGCGTATATCACACATTACACTGTCATAATCCTCAGCTTCAGTGGATTTACACTTCCGACCTCCCGCGCTCATTGGAACAAGAGGGTGCATGTCCCAACGGGCGCTTGCCATTCACGTTTCCTTTATAGTTGATTTTAGGACTCAAAACATCCGTTGACTGGACCTCTACCATGGTTCAGAAGCGAGCCGCTGATGAGTCGGGCCTGTCGCCAGGCCCCGGGAAGAAACAGTGCAGCAGCCCAGCCATGTCTGTGTCCAGCGATTCGGGAGAAGATCAAAGCTCCGATCAGACCGTCGCCGACTGCAGCACGCTTGCAACGGCGACCAGTGCCGCCCCGATGGAACGAGAGGCGTCACCCGCTCATGCCACGTTCTCTGACCGAGGCGCCCGTCCATATCAAGAGGACGCATGGGCCCACCTGCTTCTTGGCCCAGGAGTTTCCGCGTACGGCGTTTTTGACGGCCACGGCGGCGCACAGGTCGCGAGGTACTGCTCGACCCACCTGCTCAGCCGTGTTGCCGCCGCGCTCGCCGCGCGAGGCGCGGCCGCGCTCGCGGGCGCGCCGCTGGGCGCGGCCGCGCACGCCTGGGCGCTCAAGGCGGCGTACAAGGCAGTCGATGCCGAGCTGACGCGCGCGGGCGGCGCCCGCATGTGCGGGTCAACGGCGGTCGCGGCAGTGGTGACGGACAACGCGATTTACATGGCCAACTGCGGTGCGTTCGCAAGCCGACTGCGGGGCTGCGGCCAGTGATGTGATTGGGACGCGCTCGAAGCGCCGCCACATGGCGCGGCCGCAGACGCGAGCCCGCAGACCGACCGCACTGCGGTTGAGGGGAGGCGGCTTCTGTGCTCCGACCCCGGGGTGGCCGGCCACGGGACCAGCCCGGCAGCCGGGCTGGAGGTTTCGGGCAGGGCGCACGGGCCCCTATCCCACTCTCTCACTCCTAAGCATGTGCAATCGCACTGCAGCCTCCGCGGCTCCCTGTCTCCTCTGTGAGCGACACTGTCATCCCCACCCTGCTCAAGGTCTGCGCACGGTCCCCTCGCCCTGTTTTCTCTCCTCACGTCACCCAGGTGACAGCCGCGCGGTGTTGGTGCGCGGCGACAAGGCGCTCCCCCTCACATTGGACCACGCGCCCACGCGGCGCGACGAATGGGTGAGCGCCCTTGCGGCGACGCTGGGCGCCACGCCTGGAGGCCGCTGCTTCCTGGCCCCTCCTCTCGCCTGCCCCGCAATCCAATGTTAGCGCCGGCCGCTCAGGGACCCGTGGGCGACAATCGCCGCCACGCACAGGCTCCATCAAAAGCGCGAGCGACCCGCGCTCCCACGACCGCCCCGCCCACACGCGTCCATCCCGCCCCGCCCGCCGCGCGTCGCCCGCGTTCCCCCATCAGGAGCGCGTCCGCAGGGCCGGCGGCGCCATCCTGTGGGCCAATGGCTGGCGCGTCGCGGGGTCTCTGTCTATGACCCGCGCCATCGGCGACCATTTGCTGCGCCCCCACGGCGTCATCCCAGACCCAGAGGTCTCCACCTGCAGGCGTGGCCCCGGCGACGACTTTCTGATTCTCGCCACCGACGGCCTGTGGGGCGCCGTATCATGCGACGAGGCCGCCGCCGTCGCGCGGCGCGCGGTCGAGCGCGGCGAGGCCGCGGGCCTACCACGCGCGGCGGCGCTGCGGATCGCGCCACGGGCGCTGGCCAAGCTCGCGCTGGCTCGGGGTGGTACAGACAACGTGACGGCGGTCGTGGTCGACCTGCGGGGCCCCGCGCCGGACCCCACGGCCGCGCCGCCCGTGGCGCCCGCGGGCGCCGCGGCGCTGGATACCGCGGCGGCGGGCGCGGGGGCGGCGGCGCGGCTGCCGGTCGACGCGGCGGGCGGGGGCTTATCGGCGCCAGAGGGTGGCGCGTCGGGTGCAGGGCTGAGCCTGCAAACTGTTTCGTCAACGCCGGCGCCGCTGAGCCCATTCCAGTCCGCCGACCTTGCTGCGCTCGCCCCCGGCTCGGCCCCAGGACAGCAGCAGCAGCAGCAGCAGGCGGCCGCTTCGCCGAGTGTGCGCGCGCGTGCTCTGCTCGAGCTGCTGCGCACGTGGACCGTGCCGGCGCGCGCCGGGGCCGCGGGCGGCAACACTGTCACCACAGGCGTCCAGCCACGCGCGGGGGCGTCCGGCGAGCTGCGGCTGCTGGCTGCTAAGCTGCTGCTGCAGCAGCAGCAGCAGCAGCAGCCGACACAGATGCAGCACTAGGACCCAACCCAAAGCATCAGAGCAACGCCACCCGTCAGGTCTCTACAGTATTCATCTCCTGCGTGGTTGCGCCATCATCGTTGGTTGCATGAGAAGCCCTTTTCTTGGGGCCTCGGCCACAGGGGATTACTGCGCGACTTCCGTTGGCGCCTGGCGCCTGCATCTTTTAGCGCGCATAACGCCACAGGGTGACTCATGTGTTTTGAATCCGTGACTGATCATTGCTGCGGGCCGCGGCGCTGGTCCCGCCGCAAGCGGGAGTCGGCTCGCGCATGACTGTATTGGGAGTGCTGAGTCGTCGCCGAGTGCACCGCCCCAGGCAAAGGCGTGCGTCTTTGCGCCGTTGCTTCTACGCTATGGCTCCTGCGTGAGCCGACCGGCATCTGATTTGCCGGCGTGAACATAGCCTCGATTGACACTTCAGGCAGGCACGGCACATGTTCATTGAGAGCTGCACAGGCAGAGCACAGTCACATCTGGATAGGCAAACGCATTCAGGAGACTCAGGCCCCATCAAGACTTGTTCTGATTGTTTTCGGCCCCAAATCCAATGATTTCGGTCGGCTGACTTGGACACACACCTCTGACCAGAGGGCTTGCAACGTATTCACGGCCCCCCTCGAGGCGCGTGTGTTTGCCGGCCCCGCGCGCCACGCGGATTGGTGGCTGTCGACCAACCTGGTGCACCGGCAAAACCGTCGCACACATGCAGCATTTAGCACGCCGGGTGCCCAGGCGCCTGCATCTTCCGCGGCACAAGATGCCGCCGGCTTGGCCCACTTTATTAGCCGATGCGCCGCCACTCACAGTCACAACATTGAGCGTGCGCACGTCTGGTCAGTTTGTTAGGCAGCACGCCGTTGTTTGCCGAGCGGTGCCCCGTCGGTTTTGGGCCTGCCACGCATCTGGAGCCGTGATGGGGCGGCTTCAGGGATTGCTGACCGCTGCACCACACTGTGATGCGACACAGCTCGGGCCTGGCCTGATCTGACAGCGTTTGCAAGGCTGATTTTCAGTCTGCCAGGGGCGTTCCGTTTTCCCCACCTCCAAGGAGCCATGGCCCGGTGCATGGGTTGACTGGGGCATCCCCATATTGTATACTCCCTGCCGGGTGCTTGGAGCACAATATTTGCAGCAACAAACAGCAACTTGCAACCAACTCTGTAACACTGTTGCCGTAGTTGCCTGTGCATGTGGAAAGAGAACGCCCCCATACCTGCAGGCCCCGATTCGCTGCCTGCATGGCGCCGAAAAGGGGACCAAAGAAGCCAGGTTTGACGCTGCAGCAATCCAATGCAATGCGCAACACGCTCGTGGACTATGTACACGCGCGGGCGCCTCCACAGCTTGCGACCCCGAGGATGTGCAGCAGCCAATCTGCGTGTGCTGCGCAGTCGGGGGCGCTCGCCGCAACGTCAGCGACCCGCTCGGATCACCGGCAGCCGCGCCGCAGCCTTCGCACCCGCACACCTACACACCTAGACACCTGCACACCTGCACACCCGGACAAGAGACCCTTGCGGCTCAACAAAATGTAAATCCTCCCTCACCCGGCCGAAGGGCGCATGGGGGGCCACCCCGCACCACCATAATCTGCTGCTACCGCACTGGGCGGTACTTTTGCGTGGGCTGGCTGGAGTTGTTCGTGACAATGCTGGCCGGCGCCCGCCGCCGTGCGCCGCTGCTGGCCCCCGCACCGCCCCTGCCGCGGGCCCCACCACCCCCTCGGCCGCCGCTGCCGCCGTCCTCGTCGTCGCTGCTGATTATTTCCTCCTCCGCCC